GGGGGGGTGGTTGCTATAGTAATGAACGCAACTTTAACACGCATCTGATCGATTGTGATGCCGTGCTCACAAATGCTTATTTTCTCAGGCTCCTATGTTTATGGTCAGTCATTTTACTTTAATGGGAAAGAAAAGAAACTATTCATTGCCATTAAAGTGAAATTACTGAACCTACACAAAGAAGCCTGATAAAAATGCTCATTTTAGAAGAAAATTTCAAACGGCACTTAGAGGCTTTTGTATCTGAACTCTTCATATGAACTAGCCTAGTAATCAATTTACACTATTTGAAAATAATATTTTATTTTAAAATGTGCACATTCACTCTTATTCGTATGTCTAATAGTCGAAAACGCAAACGTCTCTTGTCACGTTCATTTATAATTTACATGAATCATGATTGCATATTTTCAATTCAAAATGGAGAAATTTCATAAAAAGTTGAGTAGTTTGCATCACTAGATAGTCTATTACTGTCGCTCGCTGAACATTTCTATTGTAAAACAGTTTTCTAATACAGTACTACTTACATTCCACGCAGTGGCGGAGCCAGGATGTTTTCATAGGGGTGGCCAGGGACGGGCCAGCAACCAGTCTGAGGTGGCACAGAAATCTTTATTATTTCAATATAAAAATGTGATTGACTATAAAGTATTGGACTGTTTTAGTGCTTAAAACACAACTGAATACAATTAATGTCTACTAAATTGTAATGGAGATATTTGTGAATTAGATCAAGTAATGCTGAGTGAATATAACAATTTGTGTATTATTTCCCTCCTCCAGGTATTTTAATAAAGAAGCTCACTATAGCTTTATTGCTCAGTCAGCTTGGTTCTGGTTCTCAAAACCCCCAAAAGCTTGTTCTCCATCATTGCATACTCATTGATGAGACATGCAGATAGTGATAAGAATTGGTTAATAAAAAAAAGAAAAAGAAAAAGAAAAAGAAAGTCCGCAAGTCAACAGCACATAAATGCTGTTATTTTATGCATTTAAATGGTTTTATTTTCGTTTGTAAAAAAAATAAAAAATAATAATAGCGAGACCCGCTCGCTGTGAAGCGGGAGCCGGCAGAGGATTCCGCTTGGTCTTAAAGCCTTCCTCAAACGGCTACTTCACAAATAAAAGAATGATTTGCGCAAAAAGAATGATTTGATCAATTGAGAATTTGTTATTGATATGGTCTGGTGAAAATAATAATATGGGTTGCGAGAAAATTATAAATAAAAAGAGTGGGGCTGCTATGAGTGCAGGCAGTCTAGGGACAGCATCACTGATCTATATATAATATCTATTATAGATCAGTGGACAGCATCCATATTTCAACCCCAGTGGCATGTCAACACTGCGTCTCTCGCGGCCAAAAAAAACAGACCGACCCACCGGGAATCCTCCCGATGCTCCCAATTAGCCAATCCGGGCCTTGATTCAGCATTAAGATTGGTTAGATCGCCTGTCAATCAAACTCCAGGCAAAGGGTGCTGAAAACCTAGTCATTGGACAGTCAGTATAGTCCAACCTCTTTTCCGAGTCTTACGTCATGAAGAGAAGAGATATCATTGAGAGGGGAAGGGGAGGTTAAAGGGATAGTTCACCCAAAAATGATTCTGTTAATTCTGTCATTAATTACTCACCCTCATGTCGTTCCAAACCCGTAAGACCTTCATTCATCTTCGGAACACAACGCCTGTCAATCAAACTCCAGGCAAAGGGTGCTGAAAACCTAGTCATTGGACAGTCAGTATAGTCCAACCTCTTTTCCGAGTCTTACGTCATGAAGAGAAGAGATATCATTGAGAGGGGAAGGGGAGGTTAAAGGGATAGTTCACCCAAAAATGATTCTGTTAATTCTGTCATTAATTACTCACCCTCATGTCGTTCCAAACCCGTAAGACCTTCATTCATCTTCGGAAAACAAATTAAGATATTTTTGATGAGATCTCAGAGCTTTCCGACCCTCCATAGACAGCAAGGTAACTACCACAGTCAAGGCCTAATTTTTGGATAATTAAAAAAAAAAAAAATTTAAGAAGAGAATGATGTGATTTATAAGTGTAATAAGCTTAAATAAATGTTGAATACATGTTTACAATGTATGATAAATTATTTGCTTTGCTATAGTGCTTTAGTTGCTTTAAAGTTTGATACTTTGCTGTCACATTAATTAGATATTTTTATTGATTACCATATTCTTTAAATTAGAAATAAGCTTCTTTTTAGCTTGAAATGTTTATGTATTTGTATGCTTATTTATATTATTTATCAGGACACAAATTTGTATAATGACACGGATATTACTCTGATATAACAATGTAAATATGGTTTATGATGAAATTTGAGTACTCATAATTAAGATTGCTTACAAACATAGAGAGTACTCATAATTAAAATTGCTTACAAACAGAAAAATATAAAAATGCAGTATTTTTTGTTTGATAGATAGGTGTACAGTTTTTACAGTAAAAAATCATTACACCTACGGAGTGTCCCCACAAACCAGATGTGTGTGTGGTTCATCTACCCCTTGTTGTGTAGTAATACATCAATGATTGACATAAGCAAAATTTGTCCACTTGAGCATAACAGCTTTTTAAATGATAAATTATGCTAAATTATATTTTTGAAAATATCAAAATGCAGAAAGTTTACTGTGATGGATATGTTTAGGGGTTGACACAGCATTAAAATCATTATGTCTATGGAAAGCCTCCATAAAACATGGAACATAGAACTTTTTCTTACGTGACAAACCCTTTTTCTTGCTCCTGGAAAAATGTAAGATGTTTTTATACTTTTAGTGACACCTAAAAATAGTGTAAATGTTTTGCTTTGTTTTATATTGTGTGTGATCACAATTTATTTATATTCATTTCATTTAAAAGAAGAGAATAAGACCCTTTTACTGGGTGTAAATGGTTTATTTTTTTATTTATTTTGATTTTGTTTGTTCATCATTAGAATCTTCTTTTTCTCACATCCCGTAGAGAGAGAGGGGGAGAGACCAGAACACACTCTCTGACGGAATGTGGCCGGATGCCCGCATGTGGTCAACAGATAACGCCAGATTTGAGAGTTAAAAATGCATCTCAGGACATCCTTTATGACCTGTTACTGTTCGAAATTGATAAGTCTTCATATTGATTCCCGGAGGATATGCAAGATCGCTGGGTCAATGCCGGAAGTCTAATTATGCTAAAAACATATGACATACTGACATCTGGAGATTATTAATAGGTCAAAGGTGAACGGGACGCAGGGGTCCTGAGGTGAGAGGTCAGAGGTCGTCGTCAATTAAAAATGTTGTCATTTGGTGGTCCCCTATTTACTACACACGTCTTCAACACACTTCTTGGTGTCTAACACCAAGAAGAAGCTTGAGGCTGATCTGCTCCAGGTTCAAGGTGAGGTGGGTGATGCAGTCCAGGAGGCCAGAAATGCAGAGGAGAAGGCCAAGAAGTCCATCACTGATGTGAGTTTTTGCATTCTGTTGCTCTGTTCTAATTGAAACAGTTCCCTTTCGATAATTCACTCGTACTGCGTCTGCTAGACTCATATGGGAAAAAAGCCTTTTTCTCCTGAACTGAAGCCTATTTCATTCACGCAGTGAAACTGCACGGACATTGGTTCATCTCGGCTGACCTGCTTCTCCGCTTCTCCAGTGACGTAGCAGTTGCAGTTCCCCTGCCGCCATCCTGCGACTTCAAAGAGCTTCTAAAAGAGCAGCGGCGTTGTTGCAAATGCCGCGCCGTTATTGCGGCTCATGCGGGTCTCCCCTGCATGCCGATGACGGCCACAAGGAGTGCGTTTCCTGCTTGGGGAAACCCCATGCGGAAGCTGCGCTCACGGGAGCTATTTGCTCTCATTGCGAGAGTTTTAGTCTCGCCTCTCTCCGCTCACGGATCGCTTTCTTTTCAGAGAGCGACTCCGCCCCCCGCGCCCTCCCGTTTTCTTCCTCCCAGGG